AACCTGTCGTAGGACTTACATTTTCTGTCATTGAATGGATCATTATCGTTAGCTTAATTTTATTTGGCTTTTTTTTTGTAGTTTACTAGGGAAAAATGGATTGGAATGCTTTTTCTCAGTTAGCATTAGAATAATAGGATTGCTGTAGGAGGGGGAACCTAGCTTTGGAATTGATACAAGGATTTATGTGTATCTGGAATTGCACAAATCAAGGAATATGTGTTGCTCTCCCTGATTCCATGTTTGAAGGTATTAAATTCACTCTGAATTGGGTAGATTTTGGGGGGATATTAACAAAAGAATTGGATAATCTTAACGTAGGGAAACGCTACATGGGGAGTGGTTAAGTCCCCTTTTCTTGATCAGAAGGAAGGGCAGCCGTGGATGATAAACAAGACCTGAGTAAAGCGTGAAAGAGCCTTGTATCAAATCCCAAGCAATTCTGCTTGGAATCATTTGTAGAATCAAACGCATTATCCATCACTGATAGTTAACTTGACCATAATACAGGAAAATACCACTTCTATTCCTTGCACCATTGTGCCATGGTGGGGTTCTCCTCATGAGGGTGGATATTTTGAACACTAATATAATTTATACTGGGATGCAAGCTGGTGTATACAAATTGTTAGCAGGCCAGGCACCACACACCCCATCAATCATACCAAGTAGCCTAAACAATCCTACACATGCTCAGGAATGTATTATAGGGGTCTATGTTCCTGATTATTATGCATGGATACAAAAGGTCAGTCTGCAGCTAGAGACGTCCTTTGCACCAAGTGAAGTTATCGAATGGCACCAGATGTTCCAGAAAATTTAACTTGGCAGGCTCACATACTGAGGAACTGGACTGAACGTGCATCTGGAGAGCTTAATTTACAGGTTCGACAAGTATCAAAGGTGACTTTGCAAAACCAGTTAGCCTTACACATGCTATTACAGGAGCATGGTGTATGTGGAGTGTTGAATTTAACAGAGAGGGAATGTTGTATCACCATTCACAACGCCACCTCTACCATAGCTGAGGCCCGTCAGAAAATGAAGGAAATCACTGAACAGACTGCTGAGCTTTTCTAGGTAATGCAGGCAAAAGACTGATTTGTCAGACTCAGCCCCAGGTTGCAGATGGTGTTGCTGCTGAAATCTTTTGGACTCATGGGGAGAGGAAGATGGCTCATAAATACCAATCTTATAATACGGTGTGTGGATTTTTGTTTCTAATGGCAGGCCTTGCAGTCAGTCCCAGAAAACTGCACAGCTTAGTCAGATGTAATTGTGAGCAGGCCACTGCCAAGTAACTGTTCCATAGAAATCTCCCATGAAAGTTTACTTATGGTTCTTGACTGTTATTTCACCTTAATCCATACTGAGGAGTTTTTGCCAGTCTTAGTAACTCTCCTCTCCCCACATACGGAATGTGACAGGGTAGCTGTATGTTTACATATCCAATTGAACGCAAAGTGTCTTCAGGTAGATGTGAGCAGAAATAAGGCACAGGGAACCATGAAATTCAGACAGAAATTTGAGTACGTAGTGGCAGAGAGTAGTTAAATTTTAGATGCTTGCTGATGAGGGGGACAGGTGGTAAGTCACTGAATGATGCAAATTACAGTAGGAAGCAGTAGGATAGTGACTTACGTGAACTGACCATGCAGGGAGTTGAAAGCACTTTCTTAAATGTGAGAGAATGAAAGCTAGTAAAACTTTCTCTTGTTATTCCCTCTGCTGTTTCTAACAGAAGAGAGGAGCATCTGTTGTCATTTGGGAAGACAAAGAGTGTGAAAGAGTTAGAGAGCTGAATAAGGAACAATGAAAATACAAAACAGATTGGAAGACTGAGTGGATGACAAGATCAGCAGTATGTAGAGATGAGCTGAAAGGCAATCAAGTTGTCTTTCATGTTGAGATAAATGACACTTATATTTCTGTTCGAGAGTAAATCAAAGATTAATGCATGGTCTGGAATAAGAACTCATACCCAACATTGGTTTTGATAACCATCGGTGGATCTCTTATTTCTAGAAAATGAGTGAGAAAGCGTGACTATGAAGGTGTTCAACAAAAGGTTCCACTAGTGATTGTGCAATTGAAGTTAGTTAGCTAGTTAATTAATTAGGACTAGTAATGTTATGTTAATTATTATTAATAAAGTATTAAGCGTAGTAATGAAGTTCACTGTTCATTCAGAGTTGTGTGGTATCATTCACACAGAGAATAATACAAGAGGTAAATGGCCTTAACAGCTGGTGTAATGGAAACAGAATTTAAGTTCAGAAACAAGACTTAAAGGTAGTTTGAAGAAAGAGAAAAAAGAGGGGCAAGTTGGAAGTATGAGATTGTGATCATAAATTTGATACTCATGAAGGAGCCATAAATGGTGATAGGAAGTCATCTTAGGTTATTTTCAAAAGAGCTGTATAAAAATTTTGGAACTTTTTTTGGTAAAATTTTTCCTGGAATATATTCGTTGGTTTTATTTGTGAGTATTCAGGAATTCAAAATTCAAATTTATTGAATTTAAATAAATTGGCTTAACTCTAGTCATTAGGTAAGGCTAAATTCATTTCTTGAGGAAACCAGAAGCTTCGTTTGTTTAGTTTAGTGTAACTGTGCTTGACAATGGTTCTGTATCTGTTGAAGGAGGGGAAGACTTTTAAGTTACAGGATGATGTTAACCAAGATCAGATAAGCATTGACTTCCATGGATAAATACTAAGTGGGAATTTGAATGTTTCTGGTTACTCACGAGAAATGAGTTTCTGGAGTATCCTCGAAGATAGGAAATGCTTTTAAAAGAGAGCCTGATGATTTAATAAGAGAAATGATGCTGTAAATGCCTGTGATATCAGAGGACTCGACTCACTGGCTTTGAAGGTTCTTTTCTTACTTATGATGTATGTTACACATTCTGTCTGTTTCCTATTAAAATGATACTATTTAATTCATTGAATTAAAATTTTTAACTTACTACGTTCTTTAACATCTTTTATAATAAATATTATCTTGTCTCATGAATAAAAATATTTTTCCTCTTTTATTTATTCTTTCAAGACCTATTTTTTAGTTTCTTTGGGTAAACTAGTTTCAAGTAAAAGAAATTGTATGTTTTCCCCTGGAAAAAGATCTGCTGCTATCAAAATTCATTTTATGTTTCAGCACAGTTGTTTTCCCATTGGTTAGCCAGTTGCTTTTGCCCATTTAGTGATTTGATGTTCTCTGAAACTCATACCTAAGTGGCTTGTTTCCCACTTGTTTTTTTTTAGTGGTTGGCATGATTGACAGCAACTTATTAAATGCTCAGACCATAGCAGCTTCTTCCTCTTCAGTAGTGAAATCTCCAGTTTGATATTTTGCTAAGTACTTGATCTGTGAATGTTGTGCTGCCAGCAATGTAGTTCTATTTGTGGGCATTTCATTTCCAGATTTCAAACAGTAAGAATTTCATTTGTAGTAGAATGGTGATCGTGGTGATTTATTTTTCTTTTTAAAGATGTAGAATTGACTTCTACCATTTGTGGTATCTTATACTTCTCAAAAATCAGAGGTGAATGAAGTCATACATTCTGTTTGGTGGAAAGTGGAGGTTTGTATCCTTACTGTGCATGTGGATAATGTGTCAGCTATAAATGTCTCGTTTCTCATGTGAAAGGAGAATAGATATAGGATGAAAAGATGCTGACAGTTTGAGTGACAGTTCAGTAGATTTATTTATTTGCTGTTGAGGTATTTGTTTTTTCCCCAAAGAGAATGTATTTTTGCATGCAGGTCCAGAAGATTTAAGTGCATGTTATATACAGGCTTAGCAGTGAAGGAGAAATACTATAGACCTATTATTTCTAGTTTGTAATTGGGCACTATTTCTCTGTTGAAATAGATCTTGCTGAAAATAAGGTCAGATCAAGTGGCTAGTGTAGTCTGAGGCTGTTTGAAGGCAAGACTCATTACATTTATACAGTAAACAGCCTTGACTGTTGGCTGATTGATGGTACTTCAACTTTGCTATCAGTTACTTTTCATTACTAATCTTTCATATTTTGGACCTCACAAACATCTGGAATACTTTTCCTGAATGTTCATAAACATAGGGATCTTATTAATGTTTGTAAATATCTTAAGTGTGGGAGGCAAAGGGACGTGGCCAACCTTTTTTCAGTGGTCTGTGGGAACAGGACAAGGGGAAATGGCCATAAACTGAAGCATAGGAAATTCTGCACCAATACGGCAAAAGAACTTCTTCACTGTGAGGGTGACGGAGCACAGGAATACGCTGCCCAGGGGGGTTGTGGAGTCCCCTTCTCTGGAGACGTTCAAGACCTCCCTGGGCACCAACCTGTGCAGCCTGCTGTAGGGGCCTGCTTTGGCAGAGGAGTTGAACTCGATTTTTGGAGGTCTCTTCCAACCCCTACAGTTCTGTGATTCACTTCTGTGTAATTGAGTTCTCTTTTGAAGTTGGCGAGTTGGTGTGCTGTTAGTATTTGGAAGCTATTCTTGGTAGGGGTTCATTTTGGCATGCAGTTACTTCCCTTCAGTGATCAGGATGCATGCACATTGTTCAGCCTTTTCTCTATATTAGTTCCATAGTAGTGGCATTTGTGTTTTGGAATTGTCCGAAAGTTTTCTGTTAATAGGTAGGTAATAATGTAAATACTCGAGGCAAATATTTATAGAGTAAAGCATTAGCTGAAATTTACTAGCATGTAGGAAGAATATTTGCTCCCATTTAACGTTTGTAATTTTTCGTGATCTTTTCTGATCAGAGAGCCTTTGTATGGGAGGAGTTGCCTTCCTACTTATTTTAGCAAAGTGTACATTCTCAGTGAATAATATGCATTTCAGGACACAGGTGGATATTGTGTTTCCACTTTTGCAGAATCTTCTGGGTTGCAATAGGCAATTCACATTCTATCCGAATAAACAAAAATCTTTCATCAGAGCTGTGCTGGCAAGTCCACACAATTACTGAAATTGTTTTTAACTTTGATCTCCTGTTTCTGTAGGAAACATATGCCGCTCTCCAATAGCTGAAGCAGTTTTTAGAAAACTTGTAACTGATGAGAAAGTTGAAAATAAGGTAAGCTGTTTATTTCTGTTCCTGTCTATGAAACGACTGTATTCTATCCAGTTAGTACAAATGTAAGAAGTGAGAAAGGAAACATAAAAACATAAATTTGTTTTTCTGTAGTGGAGGATAGACAGTGCAGCGACATCTACCTATGAAATAGGAAACCCTCCTGACTATCGAGGACAGACTTGCATGAAGAAGCATGGCATTACCATGAATCATATTGCCAGGCAGGTACTGTACTTTCATTTTCTTTAAATGTGTGTATGTATTTGTTTTGTTCTTGCAGTGGATGACAGACAGTGCTGCTGTTTCAGACTGGAACGTGGGGCGCTCCCCAGATACAAGGGCTTTAAGCTGTCTAAGAAATCATGGCATTGAGACAGCACATAAAGCACGACAGGTAGAAGAGAGTATATTTTCTTTCTTGTTCATACTCATGCTGTGTTTAGCCCTAACCATTATATTCACAGAAGTAATTTGACCAGTGCATAGATAAGCATCAAATAATAAATGCTGTATGCAGTTTTTCAAAGAACTCTAAAGGTACCTAAATCTTCCAGTTGAGGTTAATTAATTTCATGTTATTAAGTTTGATTGGAAGTATAACTGGGAAGCATTGGAACGCTTCCTCTGTTGAAATTCCTACCTTCAGGTGTTTAATATGTTTAGTATTTGGGGCATTTTTCAAAACATTTGTTGAATACTCTTTTAAAATGGACTTAATCTAGTAATCTGTGATGCTTTTTTTCTGCAAGGAGTTACATTTTTATTTAGCAAGCCCAAAAAGATGTAGAGTACCTGTTTCCCATCACAAAAAGATTCTGTTCTTGAATTAAAAACCACAGAGTCCCGAATCAGGACTAAGGCACTCAGACCCAAGATTAATAAATAATATTGTTGGTGATATCTGCAGAGATAAACATACCTAAACATACCCTTGAAACATTCTTAAGTCAGAGACAGGTTTCTTAGTGAAATCCTTAACTTTGATAAAAGTTCATCTCAGTTTTCAACAAAAAAAAAAACTAACAAAAAAAAAAAAAAGAGTTTGTTTCCACTATGATTCTGGAGGGATCAGAAATAAATGTCTCCATCTATGTAAATCATTCAGACACTAAAATAAATGCACATAACTTACTTCACTTAACTACTCTCTGAATGTGGGATATTCCTCAAGGGCTTGACCTTTAGTTAGCTTGAGATTATGCCACTGGTTCTTCTGATGAAAAGATCAAGTAGTTTTGTCATTGTCTTTTGTTTCTGATCCCTGCAGAATTTTGCCAGACTATGTAAGGTCATATTTACTTTCTTCACTTTCAAAAACTGCATGTTTTTTTAACTTTTTTTTTTAAAAAATCCCTCAATTAGTCCGTTGCTTTCTGCTGACCTTTCCTGATGCTAATCTCTATTACATAACAACGCAAACAGGACTGAGCACAGTACAGCTCCAGATATTTAAGGCTTTACTATTAAAAAAAATTACTAGGAAAAGTCTGTTGTTGTGATCCTCTGGTGGTTCTGCATTTGCTATTTGTCAGTGCTTACAAACAGCATTATTTGTCATTATGAAAGCTAATGGTACTCAGGCTAATCACTGACTATTTCAGTCACTGTCGCATAGCTTGTTTTTTTTTTTTTTTTAAAGATGAGCCTTGGAAACTTGAGAATGGGATAGTTAAGCTAAAGCAGAGTGTCCAAAAGCATCTGGTCATTTTCCTTGAAACAGCTGAGAGAGAATGAAAGCACCTTAGTGAAAATAATTGATAATATGTACATTTGGCTAATGAAAAGATTTCAGTAGAAGGAGAAGAGTCTAAAATGTTAAAATGCATAGGGAGAGGGAATTAAAAAGAATGAGACAATAAATTGAAAGAATAACAGGATGAAAACATAAAATCATCCCAGCACAAGCAGCTTGATTTTATTTTAAGTGAAAGAAGTTCTTGAACTGCACGTAGCTGTTCACGTTGTACTGATGTTAACTATCTAATTCCAGTATTTTTTCAGACTTTTGTCAAATGGTCTCTACTGATACTGCAAACACAGTATCAGGTGCTGCAAAAACAGGTGGACCTAACATGGTCTCATAGCACCTTCAGAGTGGGACTGAGCAGTATGACTTTGCAGAATGATCAGGCTAGTAGAAGCAGAAGTGTATTTGTTCTCTAGTAGGGAGAAACTCAAGGATAGAGATTCTGTATGATTTTGTAGCTTCAGAGCAGATTGAGAATGGTTTAATCCAGGAGCTGCAGAAATAGAAAGGAGGGATTTTTCTTCCATTGTCTTACAAATACTGTCATAAGATGATGACCTGATGGAGCTGTCTTCTTCATTTCTGTTACCCAGTGGAAAGCAATTCCTGTGCATAATTATGATAATCATTATGATTATCATCTTCTATACTAAACTCACATATGTGCTACAAGAATCAATGTTCAGAAGATAGAATGTTAACTTGGTTGCATCCTACAATCATACACAGTGACTGTTCAAGTGAATTTTAAATGGAAGAGTAAATATATGTATAAAATACATTAAAAAAATATATGTCAAGATAAAAATGTTTGTTAATGTCTTAGTTTTTGGTAGCTTGCTGTATGTTTATGCACGCATTGAAAGTCTCTAAGCCTTCATGCACAGAACAGAAATGCATTAATCAGTTTAACTTCTGTTCGTGCTGAGGCCAAAATTGATTTCAGTATGACTCATATCGAGCATTTGCCTTAAATGTGAAATTGAGATTAGAGGAAAGTTGCATTAAACATTGCTTCACAATGGGATAAATTTGAGGACTGCTGCATCTCTTTGGTTTAGATAGAGTAAAGGAGATTACTACCCTGCTGTAAATGAAGGCAAATGCTTAACAGAAATTGGAATGATGATGTGTTTCCCTGTTGATGGTCTTCAATAATGGTTATGTACTTTTTTTTAATGTAAAATTCCTCTTTTCTGTGTAGCTGACTGCTTGAACTCTTTATTATTCCTCAGAATGCACATTCATTTTTATGTCCTTTAGATTCTTCCCCTGAAATGGTAGTTTTCGTAATGTCTGATATCTACTTGAGTACTGTCTAACCAGTAATCCTGTGTTTAGGGGTGCATTTAGATTTGTGTTAATGCTGGTTCATAAGGTAATAACTGTCATATTGTCAACGTACAGAGAGGTTGTGGGAAATGTGGCAGGTGCATTTTTTGTTTCCATTTTGTTTTTCTAAGTTTTCTCTGTCTGCACAACAAAGAAATCTATGCCTACTTATTTTTGCAGTGTTTAGTTCTGTGGAGCAAGCAGGAGAAGCTTATAGAGGTTCTGGTAGAGTTGCCAGGAAAACAGAGCTATTTCCACTGTAAAAATATTTTTGTAGGTCAAAGGCACTGCATGAATACAGCAAATATTTTTACAGTGAAAATAAACTTAAGTCTGCATTAGTTTTCATCATTAACTCTTTATTATGAAAAGTTTTCCCCTCTTACATCCCCCTCACCCCATGTGAAATGCTTACTTTATGGTCTTAATCTAGTGATAATTCCTGTAAGTTTTTTGTTACTTTCTGTTAATGAAAGTGTTTTTTCTGCTGTATATTTTTGGAGGTTAGAACTCTGGTTTCCACCTCTTCTCCTACTGACTCTTTTGTCTAGGGCATCATTCCCAAAGACACCTGTTAGAGCAGAAGAAGCCTTTCAAATTTAATCGTAGGATGGTTTAAGTTGGAAGAGACCTCAAAGATTATCTAGTTCCAGCCCCCCTACTGTGGACAGGGTTGCCAGCCACCAATTTCATCTTTTGTATTTAATATGAACTCACTATAGGTTTTGATTTATTCTGATTATCAAAGAATCAGAAGATGAGCAGTTTTCTCTTTCCACCTTTTTTTTTTTTTTTTTTTT